AGATCATATGAGTTTATGGAAAGTTTTAATGAAACACATTAAAGACTCTTTTTTTCAATACTTGAAGGCCATCAAACCACTGATTCAAAACTTATTATACTAAAACCATCTTTTAAGAATAAAAATTGATGATTTCGACCATTAAATCATGAATTACTGAGAAACCTTTTACATAAACAAAAGCATATGTAGAAATTCATTAGTTAGGTTGGGTTATACCGGCGATCACAAGGGGTTGATAGAGTCAATATTACGAAAACCAACCTTCTAATGCTGATGAACTATATGTCATAATCAATGGAAGATTATACGGTAAAAATTCTGTGATTCAACTCACGAAAACAGTAGATATAAAACGGATATTATTATTGTTGAGTCTATTTTTCCCCTTCTGGGTTTAGAGTAGGTTTCTAAGCCCTACTTTACATAGTTTTATTGTCTTCTCCGTAAGAATATACATTCCCAGGAGCCTATTCCGTATGTACATTAGCGCAGGGCATTCTAACAGCACATGTGTAGCCGACTCTCTCATTCTCTTCACAGAATCTACAGTTTGCATGCGTAAGTATACACAGTCTTGTTTTTATGAGGATTAAAGACGTTAGCTCCTGGATTTGACTCTATATGATTGAATTTAATTCACATTCCACTTTGTGTGAAATTACGTTATAGAGTATCTTCAATTCTATATAGCTTAGGTTTTTTTATTATATTAACATTTTTTGCTTATTAATTTTTTGTTGCGTTATTGCCACTTTAAAAAAATAAATACTATTATAAAAATTATTACTTTAAAAACACTTTAAATGGCTTTAATTAAGAAATTATTTTAATAACTATAAATATAAATCAATAAAAAGATGTTAATCGATTATAATGATAAGTATTTGATATTAATTGATTGATCAGTTTGTAACGCGCATATTGAAATTATTCTATTATGCATATATTCTAGATATAAAATATGTTTTTAAACAGAATATCTTAGCTATAATATAGTAAGTCTTAAGCGCATGCATTTATCTTTAAGTATTAGTTGGAGGCACTTGTTTAGCGTAGAATGTTGTTTGCAATTTTAGCCAATTTACTGCACGCACACGACTGCAATTGGCCTTTGCTTGTCATCTGCTCTTAATGATGGCCGTAATTGATGGCAGCTGTGGTTCTGGCAGATACACGGGCTAACTTATCACTTCAAATCCAACTTCAAATTCATTCTGTCTGATTGAATTAATCGTTCAGCTTGAACTTGTCTTTGATCTTATTTGGCTAATTACTTTTTGGACTTGATCGGTTTGACGTTTGAGAATTTGAAAAATGTGTATAGTTTGTTGTCGATCAAAGGCAATGGCGCATATCTCAGTTGTGTTAAAATTGTTTGTAACTCGTTAAAGAGAAATGCTGGTAAGAATTTATTACTAAGCTTGTTTCCTTAAAAAATTGTTAAAGAATTAAGAATAATTTATTAAGATTTGCCTGCTTTGTGTTCCCATGAACATCAAAACATAGTTAAGAACTCAATTTCAACAATCATAGTAAAATTCTAAGTAGATTTTAAAGTTGACTTCATACGTATATAAGACTTCATAGTAGACTTCATACTAGATTTCATAGTAGACTTCATAGCAGACATCAGAGTAGACTTCATAGCAGACTTCATAGTAGACTTCATACCCGGCATTAGTTGCTGCTGTGCTAAACTGCATGTTGTTAACTTGTTTTTTTTTTTTTTTTCAATTTGGAAAATGTTAAAGTTCAGAACAAACAATTTTAAGCAAATCATAATTCATAGCAACACATAAATGAAATCATTTCAGCTCAGCAGGCTATCGCGACGTATACGCAATGCGCGAGATACTACCAAAAAAGTAATAAAACATCTAGATATAATAAAACGAAATCTTATAGTTTATTTGGTATGTTTTAATTATAAATAAATAAGTAAATAAAAATAAATCAATTTGTATAAAAAATCATTTTTATACAATATCTCACTTGTTAAGTTAATGCTGTTTTGTTCCGCTCTGTAATTGAATACGAGATACTATTAAAGATACAATTTTTTTCTCTTATCTTAACTACAAATAATTAAAAATTATGTGAAAAAAATGCGTGCAGTTTGCTTAAAAATTTGATGAATGTGATGTTAACACGTTTTCGACATTACCTCAGTACGGTTATGTGTGTATTTCAAGACTCGGCCCAAACAATGGGATTGTTGTGGCTTAAAGAAAGATACGCATTGTTGTTAGGTTAAGCGACGCGCAAATTGCGGACACATGTACTGATAAACACTCTGAGATACATACATATATATGTGTGTATACAGTATACTACATTATATATATTTTGTTATCTAACAAGCAATTTTACAAAAAGTGTGCATAAATGCTGGCCTTGGCCTTGGCAGCGGTTGTTGGCCATAAAATAAGCCAACTTATCGCTTTGAAAACTGTTTAAATTGCGTTAAGTTTAATTGTCGAACGTTTAGTTGAAAGTGATTTAAAATTAACATGGATTTTATGCGTGAATTTGCAAAAATTAAGTAAAAATAAATAAATTTGCAAAATTAAACAAACTCACTACTGCTGGCTATCAGCAAATTATTTCAAGCCCCACCAATGTGTGGAGCTTCGAAGAGTATAGTACTTATCTAAGTAAGATACTACTTCGGTCGGTGTGTATCTCAAACGGATGTGCTTGTGTTTGAAGTATCTGAAAACTAAAGCTGCTTGTAAACGATCGCTTGATTTAGGTGCGGAGCGGATATTCACACGTGAATTGTTTAATTAATGTATTAACGGATGTTGTTTCTTTGATTTTAAGTATATGCGAAAGCTTTTTTAAATAAATAAATTATTAAATATTTGATAATAAATTTATTCGATTTAGATTTATTATGTCTCAGTTTTTATTTACTTCTCAGTTCTGTTGGGAATATTTGCTAAGTCAACTAATAAGTTCAATGATTTTTTTAAATTAGTTTAAGAACTTTAAATCTTTTTTTAAAAAAAATGTATATCGGCAAATTGCAAAATTGTTTAAAAGATACTTGATTGAGTATTTAACTGTTCACCAAAATCAGCTTAGAATGCGAACTTATAGAAAAATTGCTTAGCGAGTGCCTACTCATAATATTTAATGAAGTCAACTACTTAAATATTAAGCGCTTGTGACAAATAAGCTTTTGAATTTCTATAGAAAGGAATGTTCTATAGGGTACTGATTGGGAATGGCTAAACAAGTTATATAGAGTTTGAAAACCTTTGCCAAAATATTGTGTCGTCATTTATATTTGATAGCATAAGTTGAAGTTCTTTTTGTAGAAATCATTTAGAAGTCTTTCTGATTAAAATCAATAGTAATATTTGTTTTTCTCTAAATTTTTTTGTATTGTATAAGTTAATTTAATTTTTTAATTTTTTTTGAACATAGATTAGGTATTTGCAGCGTTAGGTGACATTCAATCGTTTCACTAATGACCTAGGACTTGTGTCATCAGATATTCAATATCCAATAAATTGGTTTTCAATATTATGAAGGTTTTTTTTGTATTCTATAAGTTAATTTAATTTTTTAACTTCTTTTGAGTCCACAGGTATTTGCAAGGTGACATTTAATCGCTTTCCTAAGACTTGTGTCATCAGATATTCACTATCCAATAATTTGGTTTTAAATATTGTGCTAATATGGAATAATATAATATGATATATATATAATATGATAATATGGCTCAGTAAACCCACACAATAACCCACAATAATATGGCTCAGTAAATATAATATGATAATATGGCTCAGTAAACCCACACACGTATTACTTAATATCTATTAAGTACAACTTAGCAATAGTAATATATTAACAAATAGTTAAGATTGTACTACTCATATCCAATAAAGGATATTTAAAAAAAAAAAAAAATTTATGGTAATGATCATAATGATAAATTCATTATTGATTCAAGATTAAAATTGACAATTTTATAAAGCTTTCAATCGTCAAAAAAGCTTATAAGTATGAGTTTTATAATTTATTTTCGACTACAAAGAAAATTAATTAAGTTGAATTGATTTCCAGTTGAACCAGCATAGATATTAATTCCAATTTTACTTAAAATTTTATTAGTTTTTTTTAACACAAAAAAATTAATTAAACTCTATTAAAGCAAATTATTAAATATTTTTATATTTTTTTTATAACAAATTGCATACTCTCTGTTTTGAATTGCCTAAGCAAATGATTGTTCTTTACTACCTTATAAAGATACATAAGTCGCTTAAAATGATGAATTTCATAAATATATGAAAATAAATAAAAAAACATTGTGACTAATTCAAATTTAAAAAAAATTAAAAGAATTTCATGAAGTTAAATTCATAAATGTGTACAAAAAATTATTTAACTTTCAAGAAAAATACTCATTAAACTTAATTTGTAAGTATTAAGAGAAAATTTGAATTAAGAGGTTTTTAGTGATACAATGCAGCACATTTGAAACTTCTTATCTTCAAATTTGACATATTCAACTGTATACTCATCCTATAAAGTTGAAGTTCATTCATTCTCTAAGAAAATTCATTTCCATTCTTAGATTGGACTTCTTAATATTTTCGTCTGTAAAGCTGACACTCATACATCCTTACTCCACTACATAGACTTTCATAGACTTACTTGTTCTATAAGCGTTCAAATCCTAAGTCACAATCGATTATAAACGGATTTTTAATTGTGCCATCGTTTACAAATGTTTGGAATATATTAAACTGCTTATTGTAATGGTTAGCTATTCCTCAGCTAGAACTGCCTTAAAACGTAAAATGTTCTAAAAGTCAAAACTTAGTAAATTTTTATTAATCATCTGTCATGACATATATAATTGAAGTAATAACTTTAATAGTTTCTGAATAGAAACTTAAGTCATGTTTTCATTGAGGATTTCAAAAAAAATTTGTTTAACAAAAGTAAAATTTTTTCATACAATATATTTTAAAGATAGGTAATGTTAAATTTTTATCCAAATTATTACAGTACCCGATAACTAAATTTTATTAAGTATGTTTTATGGTATATAACATACTTTTCTGCTCAACAATTTTCTGCTCAATATTTTTATATATAATGTCTGGAATCCGGTATATCGCATATGCATGTGCCTTATGGCACGTGGTGGTCGCTGTGAGTAATTTATAGAAAAACCTAGTATATCATTGAAAAATTTTAATACATTATTGCTTGAGTAGATCGGTGACGAATATGCGAAGTATGAAACGAGGAAACAGGCGAGGAGATGGGCAATAGATGGACTAAATGTAGGGATGTTACGAAATGCGAGACTTCATGGGGGTGACAATCATGGAAACAGTACTGCTGCTCTTCTTAGCATGATAAGAGAACTACCACCAGAACAGGAATCGGAACACGACCACATACTTTCTGCTCTTTAATTATTAGATGATTGAATCAATAAATTTTCTTCATTAAGGACTGTAAATAGTAATTACTTTGCTTTTTAATTTAATTTATTTTATGAAAATGTTTTTAGTTCTAATAAGTATATCTTAATTTCGTTTACTGTGGTTTAAGTCGAAAAAAAACTGCTAGTAAAAGTCAGTTCTTTATAAGCATAATTAGGAATGTGGAATGCAAGGTGAGGGGGGTAAATATTATCGCAAATAATTAAAAAAAGTGTGTGCATAAATAATCTAAAATTGTTTTTAAATAGCTAAAAATTAAATTTGGAAGGAATTCATTAAACAGTTAATTCGGTAAAAATATTTTTTTTTATAGTAGGTGGATCAAAAGCCACAGTGTGAGACTTGAACCCACTAAAACCACCTCTAAGGAATGAATGGAGAAGATTTCCACTGCAATGTGGAAACTTCATTCCAGTAATCAATGGAGAGATGAAAACAGATAGGCTTAATACCTTTCTAGGACTAGATTCATCTAAGCCAGAAAGCATGGGCAAGAATTAGGGAAAATGGATGATACTGAAGGGGGTGGAGTTACGGCTAGTAAACCGAGGTGAGATTAACGGTAAACTTTGTGGATAGGGTCACGAAAGCCGCGGTTAAAGAGAGGGATAACGTGAGGATTGCGGTCCCCTTCATCAAAATAATGGGATAGATACTGAGGGGCTTTAAAGCACAAGGGTTGAACAATGTCTTTAGGGAGGGTAATGGGAATGGAGACATCAGTGGGAAGTCGTGAAGCCGGGTGATTTACCTACGGGCGAATGACAAATCATACTCGTCAACACGAGTGATCGTGGCATAAAGGACAGAGGCGGTGAAGTGCTAGCCGTTAGGTTTACGCTTATAGTTGTTGCAATCTAGAAGTTTCCGCTCAAACAGCTGGATTCTATCATCTGAGTGGATGTAATTGCTGACCAAATAGAGAAAGCGGAGGTGAGAAAGGGGCGAATAAATTGCTTATACCAGAGCAGCTTAATTCTGCAGTTAAGCTGGTTATGTCTTTTAAGTTGAGTGTGCCTGTACCGGGCGTTACGGATGGCAAAGTTAACGTAAAGGATAAAGTTGTGTTTTGAGTAGAATACAATGCTTAGATGTTTCATCTTGTGAACAAACTGAGTCGGAGAATTGTTGAACCTGAGCTCAATTCGAAAAAAATATAGAATAAGTCTATCTTGATATTACAATCGGAAAAAAACCGAACTGCGGTTGCAGACACACATTTCAATAATCAATACGATTATTAATAATCAAACTGAGTACAGTTTATATATATGAAAATTACCTAAAGTGTGAGGAATAGCATTTGCATCCTTTTAAAATCTAAAGTTCTTTATCTCTAATGATAGTTAAGTATTTAATAAATGCTTTAATATTTTCCCTTTGCATTAATTATGAATTTTTAATTATAATTAATGTTAAATGTTAAAAGTTAAACTTTTCCATTACTCTGTGGCTTCGTTGCACACTTAAAATGCCGTGATTAGAGCAATTCTAATTTACAATTAAGCAAACTATTTGCATTTACGAGTGTAAGAAGTCAGTGGTTTCTAACAATTCCATTGTTCTACGAAGAATCTAAATGTATGCAAAAATGAGTTTAGTTAGTTAAAGGCTTGGTTTAGTCTTGCGAGTGCAAACTTAAGTGTGTCTTCTGCCACTTGTGGTGTTATAAGAGAATAAAAGCAAGAAAAAATTTTATTTTAAATTATACCATAAATATAGAGAAACAACATGCCAAATATAAAAAATTGTTTCATTGTTATTATTTAACAAGAAAAAAACTGCAAAAATCAGTTAACAAATGTTGCTCGGCTGGCAATAATGGCTGAGAAGTATGCGTATTAAGTCTTGCCAGCAAAACATTTTATACATAATTTGGCAATTTAAGAAACCACATTTCCTTACCACAACACTTTAGATATACCATATATATAGATATATGTGGATGTAGATATATGTTTTCTTGATTTTGTGCTAACGCAATATTAAAATCGGTTTAAGTGCTTTAGTAATTTAATTTTGCTGTTTAGAAGAATGCGAATTCATTGCAATAATTTACAACAAATGTACGAAATCAATGAGGAAGTAATTAGATAAATTTTTTGAAAAAAGTTTTATAAACAATATCGTTAAGAAACAAAACACAAACAATAAAAACATAATGTTTTTGTTAGGAATAAAATATTGTATATATGAAATTATGTTGTGGTTTTGAATAACGCCGAGTTGAGGGAGTAAACGTCAGTTTCAGGCACTGGAAAAAAGATGACATTGAAATTCATTGTTTTTTTATTTGATTACTTTTGTTTATAGTTTTGGTCTGTTGCGTGAGAATTAGAATAAAATTACAGAAACATCTTAAGAGGCAGTCATTAGAAACTAACACATAATAGAGTTTCGCGCTACAGTCTTTTGAACACTGTTTTTGAAGAAAATCTCCATACAGAAGTATAAAAAAAAACAAAATAATAATAATAATGCTTAGCAATATAATTTTAGATTTTAAATAAAAACAGCAAATTTTCTTATTACTACAAAATGTTGATATACATAATTTCGAATACATAATCTCGAATAAGTTGTAATTACAAACGAATCATATTTCCAGTTTTCATACACATTTTTGTATAAATTTTCATCTACGGAAATAGCTAAAGTATCTTGTTTTAAACCATGATTACATTGTTTCGTATAGCAATTGTAGTTTTTATGCATAACATGTTTAACTGAAAGTTGTTTTAGTCAGAAGCTCCATTAGTGTAGATAACTTCATTTCAATCTAGCCATTTGATTTACAAAGATTGTACCAATAATATCTTCTTGGCGCATTCTAAATTGCACGTTTATCTTTAGCACTTTTGAATACCAAATGTCAAGTATGTACGAAAGCAGAAAATACTTGTAGCTTCATAAAGAAATATCTGCAAAAATCTGTGATCACCGCATGGGAACTATTATAAATAGCTGCACATATTCTTACTCTTACCTTGAGTTTGAAGCAAATATGAAGCATGTTTTATATTAAAATATTAAAGTTAAAAAGCGGAAGCTCTAATGATCATGCAAAGCGCTCATTCATAGGATAATTATTCCATGAGTTCATGCCAACATGATAAAGATGTACATGCTGAATAATTGACGGTGTGAATGCTGACAGGAGGTGGAGTGTGGAAGCATTGTTCTCATAGTAGGAGTTCACAATTTACGGATATATGAAAGAGTTCTCATGGATAGTATTCAATATAAATATAAAGAATTAATACATAATTCAAGAGAGTTAGTCAGTTCAAAAAAATTCCAGTAATAAAGAATGAGAAATTGTGTTTTTGGAACATCTTTGGCATTACTTCATCACTTTTCCGACTTGTACACAGTATAAAGTTAACAAAGTTTAACTGATTGACTTTTTGTTGACAAAATAAGCAATTTTCTAACTAACTAATATAAAAGCTCTTCTACGAATTTTTCAAAACGTTGAGAAAAATATAACTTTAAGCACAAAACTTTTGAGTTTTAATATATTAGTCAGTTTTGGATCTATAAATCCCGAAAATATAGTAGAAAAGTTGAGAGCGAACCCAGAGAGCTGGTGAACGATAGTCATATGTGATTCAAGTCCTCAAAATGAAGAAATTGGACCTAGAAAGGAAATCAGAATATTTGAATATAGGTTCCTGGTTGTTATTACGTGACAAACGTATTTATTACTGAACTATCTACTGAAAATTCACATTACTGAATTGTCTATCCACAAAGTATGTAAACACACTTTTCCATTAAGAAATGTAACACTGCAACCTCTACGATAGACTATCTTTTCTCTAAATAGATAACTGATTAATTTTTCTCAATGTCCAATAAAATCGCTATATTGTTAGGGAACTGCATCTTGGGTTGTCATCGCGATCTATTAGGAACTGGATCCAACGATGAATATCGTTGCCACGAGTTAGACGATAAAAAGAAAAGTATTAATTATCTGCTTTGTAAACTCTTTTTTGCAAATCCTCTTCTAATACTACTAGCATTGACATTAAAGACCATGCTTTTTTTTTATTAAATCAATAAAATGGTTTCCCCTATCCAAAGTTGGGTATTTTTTCTAAAATTTTATAAAATAGATAGTATGCTTTAATAAATTGTGGTATTACATTAAGTCCAGTGCATAGGTGAGCTGGTCTTTTTGCTAAATAGACAGCTAGTTATACATATAAAACTATACCTATTTCAAGAGAACTCTATTAATTCAAAACAAAGCATCAATAGCATAACATTATAATTTATGTTATGATATCTCTGACGAATTTATTTTACTCCAACATGAAAGTATGATAAAATTATTAATATGTAAGTTTTAAATTAATTTAGGATCAAAATTTTAGCTGTTTTAATTCTAAAAGGGTATTACACTCATTGTCTGTTAGGCCCAAAAGATAATGAAAAACCTAATTTTTCAATTTGGGTTTCATTAATGTTTAAGATTCTTATGATTGACCTGAATATGTTGCCGTCATCCATAAATGTTTTCCATTAAAATGGCTAAGATAATGGTTAGCCGTTCCTCAGCTAGAACTGTCTTAAAATTTAAAACGGCCTAAAAGTCAGGAATTAGTATATATTAATTTATGAACTTTTGATCGCTATTCGTAGATCACGCATGATTTAAGAGTCATAACTATAATATATAATATAATTGAAGTAATAACTTTAATTTTTCTGAATAGAAATAAAGTCATATTTTCATTGAAGAATTTCAAAAATAGTTTGTGTAACATAAATAAAAACCTTTTATACAATATATTTTAAAGATAGGTAATGTTAAATTTTTATCCAAATTATTACAGTACCCGATAACTAAATTTTGTTAAGTATGGTTTGTGGTGTATAAGATACTTTTAGTATATTTTTGATGTATCATGTCTGATTTTCGGTATATAGCATATGCCTTCGTAGGTTGGCATTTGGTTGTCGCTGTGAGTAACTTAAAATAAAATGGGAATATCAATGAAAAATTTTAAAACGT